CAATTTGACTTGAAGTCTTCCCGCAGAAATCTGCTTACACAGAAACAAAACATACAGCCAAGGAATTGTGGTGACGTGTTGTTTTAAATTGTCTGAATTTTTGTAAAACACTTTTAAGTCACAACATCAGACAGTAGTTTTGATCGTTGATGAATAATGTTTGTGTGTTTAGCGTTACCGACATAAAGTGCGTGCAAGTAAGTCGTGATTTTTAAACGTAATCTTCACTTATCATGGAACACAAATCTGAGTAGTAGTAGTATCATGGCAAGGAGCTGTGTGAACATATAGCTGGATACTCGCAGTCACCTCAACACAAGTCATTCTCATGGTCTGAGAAAAGGATTATTTGAAACTCTTTCGGGAAAAAACAAGTATTACATAAATAATATAGATAATAGAAATAAGAGAATTGTTGAAAAATAATTATTTTATTTTATTATAATGTCTAAGCCACGCAGGAAAACATTGAAATTGATCAATAACGGTGAGTGTTGACTGAGACTGAGTGATTGATGTGAAGCTATCTGCAATAAATGTGACACGTTGAGTCTCTTAAAACATCTGCGCCGTTCTCTCGCCGCCGTGCTGCAGGAACAATGTTCCTGCAGTTTTGCTGCTTTTGTTTAGATCACGTTGTTTCACGTGACACCCGTAGTGAGTCCAACTGGGTCACAGACGCAGTGGGAGCAACGCTGTTCACCAACTCAACTCAACACGAGCTGCACTTGGGGCTGTTGAACGCCCATCTACCCCACGCTACGCAGAGGTCGCAACCGGGTACCCGATACCCGTACCCTACCCGATACCCGTACCCTACCTGATACCCGTACCCTACCTGATACCCGTACCCTACCCGATACCCGTACCCTACCCGATACCCGTACTCTACCCGATACCCGTACCCGATACCCGTACCCTACCTGATACCCGTACCCTACCCGATACCCTATCTGATACCCGTACCCTACCCGATACCCGTACCCTACCCGATACCCGTACCCTACCTGATACCCGTACCCTACCCGATACCCGTACCCTACCCGATACCCGTACCCTACCTGATACCCGTACCCTACCCGATACCCTATCTGATACCCGTACCCTACCCGATACCCGTACCCTACCCGATACCCGTACCCTACCTGATACCCGTACCCTACCCGATACCCGTACCCTACCCGATACCCGTACCCTACCTGATACCCGTACCCTACCCGATACCCTATCTGATACCCGTACCCTACCGATACCCGTACCCTACCCGATACCCGTACCCTACCTGATACCCGTACCCTACCTGATACCCGTACCCTACCCGATACCCGTACCCTACCTGATACCCGTACCCTACCTGATACCCGTACCCTACCCGATACCCGTACCCTACCCGATACCCGTACCCTACCCGATACCCGTACCCTACCTGATACCCGTACCCTACCCAGATACCCGTACCCTAACCGATACCCGTACCCTACCTGATACCCGTACCCTACCCAGCCCAGTAACCCTACCTGATACCCGTACCCTACCTGATACCCCGTACCTACCGATACCCCGTACCCTAACCTGATACCCGTACCCTACCCGATACCCGTACCTACCTGATACCCGTACCCTACCCGATACCCGTACCCATACCTGCCCTACCCCCCCCCCCCCCTACTGATACACTACCCTACCCGATACCCGTACCCTACCTGATACCGTACCCTACCTGATACCCGTACCCTACCCGATACCCGTACCCTACCCGATACCCGTACCCTACCTGATACCGTACCCTACCCGATACCCGTACCCTACCTGATACCCGACCCTACCCTTACCCTACCTGATACCCGTACCCTACCGATACCCGTACCCTACCTGTACCCGTACCTACCCGATACCCGTACCCTACCTGATACCCGTACCCTACCTGATACCGTACCCTCCGATACCCGTACCCTACCCGATACCCGTACCCTACCTGATACCCGTACCCTACCTGATACCCGTACCCTACCTGATACCCGTACCCTACCCGATACCCGTACCCTACCTGATACCCGTACCCTACCTGATACCCGTACCCTACCTGATACCCGTACCCTACCCGATACCCGTACACTACCTGATACCCGTACCCTACCTGATACCGTACCCTACCCGATACCCTACCCTACCTGATACCCGTACCCTACCGATACCCTTACCCTACTCGATACCCAGCTACCCGTACCCGACCGGGTAGCCGGGTAGCCGTTTGCGACCCTGGTGCGGCCGGGTACGGGTAGGCCGTGAGTCACTGGTGAGTCACCGTTTGTCACTCATTTCGTGTGACGATGTGTGACGAGGGGGGGGGTCAGAACATGTGTGACGAGGGGGGGGGTCAGACATGTGTGACGAGGGGGTGGGTCAGACATGTGTGACGATGTGTGACGAGGGGGGGGGTCAGACATGTGTGACGATGTGTGACGAGGGGGGGGGTCAGACATGTGTGACGATGTGTGACGAGGGGGGGGGTCAGACACGTGTGACGATGTGTGACGAGGGGGGGGGGTGAGAAATGTGACGTCACATCAAAATGCGCGACTTCAAATAAATACGGACGACACGTTCTACTTAACTAAACAGACTTTGTAATAAATGTTTTCTCCTACAACATCAGAGTGCAGCGCCACACTGAATACGCACTACAATGACAACAGTTTACAGCGATTTGAAGCATGTTTTATTTTTTTAGGGGGGGGCAGAGCTTTGTGACGTCATATTTGAGGGGGGGGGGGGCGGAGATTTTGTGACGCCGTGTGACAAAGGGGGGGGGGGGGGGGTCAAAAATATTCCAAAATCTCGTGACGTCATTTATGGCGTCTCATCGCAGGCGAACATCGTGAACACTTTGGGTTCAACGACGGAGCTGGAGTCACCGAGAGGCGAGGTCACAATCCGCTTCTACTGTTTCTCTTGTTCTACATCTCACAGCCAATTCAGTGGAATGTCCAATGCAACCAGCCAGGGGAAGATGACACATCTGATGGTTGTTGTGGAGTCACTGGCCGACACCATCAACGCAGCAAACTAGAGAACCCGTTTCCTCCTCCACCCACTCACGCGTTAGTGCCTCAACCTCGCAACGCACGAGTCACTAGAGACAAAGTCGACCCCCTGTGAACAGCACAACAAGGAGAGTGTGAGACTGTGCACCTCGCAACGCACGAGTCACTAGTGACAAAGTCGACCCCCTGTGAACAACACAACAAGGAGAGTGTGAGACCGTGCACCTCACAACGCGTCACTAGCGGCAAAGTCGACCCTCTGTGAACAACACAACAAGGAGAGTGTGAGACTGTGCACCTCACAACGCGTCACTAGCGGCAAAGTCGACCCTCTGTGAACAACACAACAAGGAGAGTGTGAGACTGTGCACCTCACAACGCGTCACTAGCGGCAAAGTCGACCCTCTGTGAACAACACAACAAGGAGAGTGTGAGACTGTGCACCTCACAACGCGTCACTAGCGGCAAAGTCGACCCCCTGTGAACATCACAACAAGGTGAGTGTGAGACCGAGCACCTCACAACGCGTCACTAGCGGCAAAGCAGAAGACGGTGAGGGGAGCGCGAGAGCCGCCCGGCTAGCGGAGTGAAGCGTAGTGGGAGCGAGTCCTTGACGCCGGCCCCGAGCCCCGAGCCCCACCCCCCCTAGGGCCCCCCAAGGGGGCGGCGCTGGCTGCTGCCGGCGCTGCGGCTGCTTGTTCCACCAGGCGGGGACGGCGCGGCTCCTCAAGCGTCGGACGCAGCGACTCTGTGGGCGGCGCGAAGCAGCCCTTCGCAAGCACCGCCTCCGGGCGCGGCGGACTCGGCACGTCGGAGCTAAAGAAGTTCTAGACACGGAGACACGTAGATTAGCGCGCTGGGCTACACACAGAGACGCGTAGATTAGCGCGCTGGGCTACGTGAGGAGAGAAAGTAGTTCTACACACACAGAGACGCGTAGAGTAGCACGGTGAGCTACACACAGAGACACGTAGAGTAGCACGGTGGGTGACGGTGATCGACACACACACACAGAGACTCGCACAGAGACTCGTAGATGAGCTGGTGGGTGAGGTGACCGACACACACAGACAGAGACTTGCACAGAGACACGTAGATCAGCTGGTGGGTGAGGTGACCGACACACACACACAGAGACTCGCACAGAGACACGTAGATGAGCTGGTGCATGACGGTGATCGACACGCACACAGACACTCGCACAGAGACTCTTAGATTAGCACGGTGGGTGACGGTGACCGACACACACACAGAGACTCGCACAGAGACACGTAGATGAGCTGGTGGGTGACGGTGATCGACACGCACACAGACACTCGCACAGAGACACGTAGATTAGCACGGTGGGTGACGGTGATCGACACACACACAGAGACTTGCACAGAGACACGTAGATGAGCTGGTGCGTGACGGTGATCGACACACACACACAGAGACTTGCACAGAGACACGTAGATGAACTGGTGCGTGACGGTGATCGACACGCACACAGAGACTCGCACAGAGACACGTAGATGAGCTGGTGGGTGACGGTGATCGACACGCACACAGAGACTCGC